GTGGGGTCCTGAAACATCAAGGTGGGGTCCTGAAAAGATTTTCTAAATTAATTACATATTTTGCCTTAGTTGCCTAAAATGTATAAATGTAAAAATAAAAAATATTGTTAGTGTGCCCATGTTTAGTTGACCTGACACAAATGTTTATCACACAAACACAGTTGTGGTCTCAGGTCTCTGCTGTTGTTATTTTGTGGGTCAAAAGCTGAAAAGTTTGAGAACCACTGCAAATCAATTTAAAGGGTAATAAAATAATTGATGATGTAATATTTTCCCTATAATTATTACAAAAACACAAAATTAGTATAAATATTTTGTGTAGCCTGTGTTTTTAGTGTTGTTAACAGTTTGTGTACTCAGACCAGTAATATTTGGGGTCACAGTTTTTGCTGTGGATATTTTGTGGGTCAGAAGATAAAAAGTTTGTGAACCTCTGGTTTAGGGGAACTGTTCCCACCCTCAGTCTGCTCATCATGAAGGCAGCAGCCATGTTTGAAGATCAGAATGACGTCACTGATTTAGCTCCACCCACAGTTTGTTGGCTCAGGGACAGTTAGTAGTTTTTATTATTGTTTTAATTTAATGAAAACACTGACTGCACAGGAGCCATGAAGTATTAAATACATGATTTTTTATTTAAACTGAGACATTTAATTATTTTGTGATGAATCATTTAACTTTGTCATTTCAGCTCTCCATCACGTGTTTTATTGTGAAAGGGGACCGGAAGTTCCGGTCAGTTTGTGTGAATTGTTTGGAGTTGTCGGTGCCTCGTTCTCGTCGGTCCTGTCGGTGTGCTGCTGTGGAAGTTCGGCTCCGGTCCGGTTCGGCAGGAGCTCAGACATGTAGGAGCCGTGGAGCTCTACTGGACAGGACGGAACCGGAGGACTTCTGTCCCGGTGAGTAACGTGGTGTCACCGGAACCCGGGGCTCCGGTGGTACCAGACGGTCCAACACAGGCTCGGTTCTGCTTTAAAACGTTCCCTGAACTTCCCTCTGGGTTTGTTCTCGAGGCTCGCGCCTCCGGTTCCCATGGTGAAGCTTCTCCGGCCCGAGCGTCTCCGAGTGGAGCCGAGAGAGTCCGAACAGAGCCGAGAACTTTTCCGAAAACACACGAGTCTGCTGAGTGACGAGGCGCTTCTCAAAGCTGGTCCGGGGACCCTCTGTGGGTCCTGAAACATCAAGTGACGGTCTCATTTCATCAGCTCAAATATAAAACAAATAAAAAATACTAACTATTTTCACCAGAATTACTGCAAAAACACTACTATAACAATATATACTATCAATACTATGATAATCATAACTGAATGAAAATAATGCAATAATTTAAAGTTTGTTTATAATGTTATTAAGGGTGTATTTAACAGATTTATTAACACATTTTTCAGATGTAAAGCAGTAATATCTGTAGGGTCTGAAACTGTTGTTTTGTGGACCAGAAGCTAAAAAGAGAGCAGTGGTCTGCCACTGGTGATTTATGGCTTTAAAATAATATTAAATTTTAAGAATACAAACTTAATATTAAAAGTAATAATAATAATAATTGTGTGTGAAGGACTTCCTGTGCTATATATTCTTTTATAAATATATCAGACAACCTGTCAATTTAAAACACTAAAATGACTTTTGGTAAATAATAAAAAAGTTGTTAAAAACCTCTTTCTTCCTTCAGAAAGCCGTCAGTCTGAAGAAGCTCATATTGTAGGATGAAGTCCTCTAACTTCAACACTTCATTAGAGAAAGCTACACTGTGTACTGTTACTAAGGTAATATTCACAGTATACTCCTCTTTATATATAAAAAAAACAAACTGACCTGACTGTGTGCAGGAAGAAGCTCTTGAATGTGTGGTATTCTGTGCAGGACGACTTCAGACTGAAACTAACAGCAACTACACATGGGTTTTTATTATGTAAAAACAAGTGTTCATTGCAGCATGGCTTTGCCTGCAGCATTGGACTTGCAGAATGAACTTTAACCAAGTTCAAATATGTTTTCTAAACCAGCTTGTGTCTGTCACATCAGCAGGTGTTTGTAATTAAGGTAATTGTGTGACAAAATGAAGTTTGAAGACATTTTTTGTTAAAGTTGCTTTAGCTGGGTTTTGAACCCTGACCTCCCACATGAAAGTCCATGACATAGACCATTAGACCAATGGAGTTGTGGCAGAAGGTGGTGCCAGGGTTTGGTTTGTATGTGTGCAGAAAGAGGCCACATTGCCAATATAATTATTGACACTAAACTGCATAATATTACAACAATAGAGCAGTATTAAGACAATATTATAGTAAAACACCAAAATACAATGATATTAGTATTGTAATCACTGAAC